ATAGGGACCTCCAGCATCCTCTAGGGGAAGAGTCTGGCCCCAACACATCTGACCACTTTGTCTCTTTACAGTCTTTGAGCACGTTATAATGGGACACCTTCACGCAAATATTGTACAGTGCCTTTTTTGAGACAGTCTCAAAACCCTCCAGCACAGGAGTCCTGAAATGCAGAAGAGAACCTTCCTCTGGCTCTTCATCCACCGCTGCTGAAACTCCCACTTGGGGAAAAACACTCTCTCCGTTCTGTTCAGGATCCTCTTTTTCCTCTGAGCTTTGTCTGAAGACAGAAGGCAATGCGGAAACAATTCCATCCATTATTCTCTTTATTATCCTTATGGACTTGATACCTGTCTTGCTGCACATCTCCTCTGGACTCTTCCAGTTTTCACCAGTCTTTAGGTCAGCAATTCTTGTACACCCCGCTCTTGCCATCACGTTCTGAATGCTCCTGGGCTCCAGTGCCGGTGCTGGTATCAGCGGGTTGTTAAACAGAGGTTCATTCTCTTTCCAGAGTCCAATATTCGAAAGAACCCTCTTGACCTTAAAAGTTGAAGTCCATGCTCTCAAAACTGCCTTGTAGAAAGGGGAAACATTCCTTAAGTCCATATTGGCCAGTTTGATCAAAAACAATTGCACATCATACTTGAAAATATTAGTTGTCCTCAACACAGCACGCGCTGTATCAGCCCAGCACGGTTCAGCATACAGCAATCTTTGTGCTGCTTGCAGTCGAAATGTCTTTACTCTGTTCTTAATGTCCATCAGGCCTTGTCCTCCCTCTTGAACAGGTAGGAAAAGTACAGCAGATTTTTTCCAGTGCTGTCCATCCCAGAAAAAGTCAATTAGCTTTCTTTGCAGCTCCTCAACAACACTTTCCGGGGGATCCAAAACATTCATTTTGTGCCATAGTGCAGATGCAGCCAGATTGTTCGTGACCAAAACCCTGCCCCTGTACGATAGCTGGGGTAGCACCCACGCCCATCGAGACAACCGGTCACACATCTTCTCCACCATACCCTCCCAGTTCTTCTGCCTATACTGATCTGTTCCTAAAAACACTCCCAACATCTTCAAACCAGCTCTACCCCATTTAACTCCCCCTGGAAGCAGAGGAGGGTTCCTTCCCTGCCAGTCTCCTAATAAATATCCTTCACTCTTCTCCCAATTTACTTTAGCTGACGAAGCTTTTTCGTAAATATTTAAAGCATTTGTTAAAATCATTACATCTTTATCACTTCTTATAAAAACAGTAATGTCATCAGCATAGGCCGAAAGAGTGATTGGCCTGTTTTCACAACCTTTCACTAGAAAACCTTGCAATTTCTCCCTAAGTTTATATAGCAAGGGTTCAATTGCTAGAGAGTACAACTGTCCTGACAAAGGACAGCCTTGTCTTATACCTCTATGAACCAATACGGGATAACTCAGCCCACCTCCAACCTTTAACAATGCAGAAGCTCCAGTGTATAACAGTTTGATCCAAGAGATAAAATTCTCACCAAAACCAAAAGCTTTAAGAGTTTCAAATAAATAAAAATGATCCACTTTATCAAAAGCTTTCTCTTGATCAATTGACAGAAAACCCACATCCTCATTACCAGCATTTGCTAAACTCATTATATCACGTACAAGAAAAAGATTGTCCATTATTGTTCTCTCTGGCACACAATACGTTTGAAAAGCATTAATAACATACTCTAAACAATGTTTCAATCTATTTGCAAGACACTTAGCAAGAATTTTATAATCAGTGCACAGCAAGGCTACTGGTCTCCAGTTCTTTAACAGTCCAAGGTCACCTTTTTTTGGTAATAAAGACAGAACTGCTCTTCTACAACTAGTTGGCATTTCATTTTTCCTATGAGAAAGTCTAAAAACATCAAGTATATCATCTTTTAAAATAGTCCAGAATTGCTTATAGAATTCAGAAGGAAGTCCATCAATGCCAGGGGACCGGCCATTAGAAAGTTTCTTTACCGCCTCTGATATTTCATCCAATTGAATATCAGCATCAAGCCATTGTCTCTGATCATCTGTGAGCTTTGGCAAGTCTCTTAGTAGGTCTTCCATGCAATTAATGTCACAGTCTCTTGCTTTGAATAAGTCAGTATAGAAGTTCTTTGCATGATTTCTCATTTCTTTTGGATTAGTTGTTAAAGTCCCATCTGGTAGCTTCAAATGTAACATGAGTTTTCTTTCTCCCTCTTTCCGCTCCAGGTTGAAAAAATATGAGCTCGGAGCATCCATTTCTCGTAATGAGGAGAAACGGGCTCTTATTAAAGCCCCTTTTGCTCTCTCATTGAACAAAGAAGCCAAAACAGTCTTTTTTTCTCTTAATTGTTCCACTTCTTCTGAATTTTCTTCAATAATTCCTTTTTCGATTTCAATTATCTCTTTCTCAAGTATTTTAATAGTGTTCTTTACAAGTCTATTTGAGTGGGCTGTATAGTTCTGGCAAAAAATTCTTATTTGTGCTTTTCCAATCTCCCACCATTGCACTAAATCTTCATAGTCATTTTTTTGTTCTTGCCATTTAGACCAAAATAACCCAAACTTTTCACAAAATATAGAGTCATGTAGCAGCTTCAAATTAAAATGCCAATAATAACTACAACGCTGTGACTTTTTTAAACTCATTTCAATCATACACAAATGATGATCAGTAAAACCATTTGGAAAAATATTAGCTTTTAAAACTCTATTAGAATTATTTTTACTTACATAAAACCTATCCAACCTCGCAGCACTAATATGATCATGAGAGGCTTTAACCCATGTGTATTGTTTCACTGTTGGATGTTTCTCCCTCCATACATCAGATAATTCGTGTTTCCTTATGATACTGCTTAATGAATTAGCAGACTGAGGATATGGTTCTTCACCATTTCGGTCTAATGTAAAATCTAAAGTACAATTCCAGTCACCCCCAAGAACCATACATGCATTATCAATTTTTTTAAATTCACTGGATAATTTTGTAAAAAATTCTACCCTTTCCGCTCCATTATTTGGTGAGTAAACATTCATAAAAAGAAATGGAAACCCCATTAGCTCCACCTGTACAATCAAAATTCTGCCCTTATCTATCTCATAAGAAGATACATTAGTCATATTGAGATTCTTTGAAAACAGAATTGCAACACCTCCACTTAGATTAGAGCCATGACTTAGAAAGATCTTACCCTCCCACCACATTTTCCATTCTACTTCATTACCTAGATCGCTATGGGTTTCTTGCAAAAAAATTATATCCATATGTTTGTTTTGAATCAATTCAAACAAAGCGGCTCTTTTTCTATAATCCCTTCCTCCATTGATATTAATTGTCCCTATTTTTATGCTCTCCATAAAAAGAGAAAAAAGAGAAAGACAAACAATCAGAAGAGAACAAAAAGAGAAAACCACCCGTTGTGACTTAACCATTACGTATTTTGCTTTTTAACCCATTCTTTCTCTTTCCGTAATTTTGTCACAATTTTCTTCAGTCTAAATCTTTTCCTTCGACTCAGTTCTTCAAATCCCACACTCTTCTGTATTTTAACTGCTGATCTCACGAATCTTTCAACATCAGGGAAAAAACTCTTGACATCAAAAGTCTTTCCAAAAGTTTCATCCAAGAAGTCATTAATTTCATTCACTGTGTATAACTGATCATCACCACTCTGAGAAGTAAAGTCAGACATTTCTGAAAGACTGTCTTCATCACCCATCTCCTCCATTTCATCATCCATATCAACAACCTCACCAGCACCTTCATGATCATTCCTGTGTCCAGATTCATCTTCACATTGAGAAGCAATCACCTCAGTCACCTCAACTCTCTCAGCACGATTTTTTCCAATTGTTTCTTCACAACTTACATCCTGATTATTCTGTGTATCATTCCTTTCTGATTCATCTCCCTTCTTTTCCGTTTCATCTAAATTCCTTCCTACACTGTCCTTCTCACCATCATTCTCTTTTGACCCACTCGGCCCAGCAATTCCACTTGACCCACTCGGTCCTGCTACTTCATTGTCTAACTCGTTTTCAGTGTTCGTTTTATTAGGGCACGCATTTTTTTTGTGTCCAATTTCACCGCATTCAAAACATTTTAAACTCCCGGTACTTGCATAAAGCATGTATGACTTGCCTTCATACAGAACTCGAAAGGAAATGTCAAGAACCGCTGAATTTAAAAACATAAACACTTGACGTCTAAAAGACATGACATGTTTCAGTGACTCGTTTTTACATCCTAGTGGAACCGTTTTAATTCCACTAGCTATTTTCCCAAATCTCAACAATTCCTTTTCTATGTCATGATTTGGTATGAAAGGGGGACAGTTCGAGATTGTTATGCGGCTCGATTGAGACGCCAGCGGGGAAATGACAGTATAAACGCCACTCACCCAAATGCCGCTCTCAACCAACCGACTAGTAAGGTTCCATTCCTTTAGAAAGACCACGACGGCCTTATTCATCCGTGAAGCTGAAACAACGTTGTCGTACCCCACCTGTTCGCCTATCGCCACGAGCACTTCTTCCACTGAAACGCCGGCCTCAGGTACACATCTAACGCCATGACGGAGTGAGAGAGAGGAGTCACACCCTCTCGGGCGAGCCTCCATCTCAAACACCCGCCACGCGATCAAACCAAGAAAAACCACTCACCTAAAGCTTTCTTAAGAAAACCAGAAAGAAAAACACTTTGCAAACAGTAAAGGGAAAAAAAAACAAAACCAAATAATAAATATCAGAAAAAAACTAGAAGAGAAAAAAAAAGAAGAAAAGAAGGAAAAACATTTAAATCGCTCCTCTCACCCGTGAGAAACTCACACACCCCAAACTCAGAGAGAGAGAGAGAGAGAGAGAGAGAGAGATGCACAGACAAACAGGCAGACAGATGCATGCACACACACATACAGATGCATGTACACGCACACACAGATGCATGCGCGCGCACACACACACACATACAAATAGAAGCATGCACACACACACAGAGAGAGATGTTTACCTTTCCCCCATGCCCGTCGAAGATGCCGAAGATGTCCGGATGGCTATAGTTGAGTGTGTCTGTGAGGATGAGGAACCGGTCCTCCATGTGATCTCTCCTGCCCTGGATCGAGTACACCGCAGCAGAGCTGCTCCTGAACTGCCATGTCCTGGAGAAGGAGATCTGCTCCTCCAGCATCATCTCCCTCACCTTGCCCTTCATCACGTTCATCTGCTCATCCAGCATCATCTCCCTCACCCTGCCCTTCATCATGTGCACCACGTCTCGGCTGGACCGCACGATGGTCTTCACCTCCTCCGTGTGGAAGAAGAAGAAGCTCCAGAGAGCCAGAGACACACACAGCAGGAGCAGGAGGAGGAGAGTCTCGGGCCGCAGCAGCAGAGAGCGCATGATCCGGGCCAGCAGAGACACCACACTCATGCTCTCACACACACTCACACTCAACTAATGCACATCAGAGGCTCATGCTCTCCTCCTCCGGCGAGCACGCGCACACACACTCAACTTATGCACATCAGACACTCATGCTCTCCTCCGGCACACACTCACTCTGCGCTAATGACAGCAGAATGACTGCACACATCAAACATCTGTTAATCTTAAGACTTTCCCTTTGCAAAAAATAATAAGCAGATGCAACGCTCTTTCCTTTAAAAATGGTAAATAAATGGCGTGTTTGTTTAGTCCTCCGGCTCTGTGCGGGTGTTCTGTATACTGTGTGCTTGCAGCCCGTGTTTGACAACCAGATGCCAGACAGACAGGCCTTCTTCATCAGTACTACTGCTGGTTGTTGTCTGTGAGACAGACACGACGATGATCAGTTTCTCCAATGTTTATTTTTAATTCTGCTACAGCACTCTTACAAAATACACTAAACCAAACCAAACTGCCTGTCAAAATAAAAGTCCAAACTTTGTGCTAGAATAGTTGTCAAAGTTTACCTAAAATTGCCATGTGGTAAAAAAAATGGATTGTAAATTACTCCATCTCTATTATTATTCACCTACCTACCAAATAAATAGGCAATGAACAAAATATTTTTTTGAATTGTAATTATTTAACTATGTGAGAAATGGGTGCAAATAAGAGACATGAAAGAAATGAAAGCTTCAGCATAAAGTTCTGCCAGGAAGACTTAATTATTACGTCACTTATTACCTTCACATCTATCCAATCACGTCCTTATACTCGCTGTATAAAAGATTGGTACTTACACACGTTTGAGTTCGCAGATGCTGTCGCGACAACTACCTCCATCCTCCCCACCACCACCAGGATGGTCCCGTCCATAACTCCCAGGGGGGTCTGCTGCGCCCCTGCCTTCATCTTCAGGCAGGAAATGCAGATCCGCTACCCTCGGATCATGAACTACGGACGGGGCCTACGCCAAAGAACTTTATAAATAATTGCTTGCTGGGCTGTCAATAAATGTATGCTTTGTTATACCATTATATCTCCCGAGTCTTTCTGGTAGAACTATTAAGGAAATCACTAACCTGGGACTAGGAGTCAACTGCCATTTGGTTTATGTGTCTTGAGTGATTATTCAATCACTAGTAGCCATGTCAGATACACTGATGAGCCAAAACATTATTTCCAATCACAGGTGAAGCAAATATGTTATTCCTCTCCTAACAAGGCCACATAATAATGTTTGGGTAGATTAGATGGTAATCAGTTCTCATAATGTTGGATGCAGGAGAAATGGGCAGGAATAAAGAGCAGGGCTGCGTTTCCCCAAAGCATCGTAAGCCTAAGTTGATCAATGCTTTTGGGAAACGCAGCCTTGAGTGACTTTGACAAGGGCCAGATTGTTATGGCAAGGTGACTGGGTCAGAGTATCTCTGAAACTCAAGGCTTGTGTGTCGCTTCTGGGGCCTGTACCATGATGGTAGTTGAACAAACTCGGGGTTACAGGATTGGTTTTGAGTCGACAAAACCAAACCGATGCAATCAGGCTTTATTGGTACCATGACGCAGCTCATCAACTTTCTCTGTCAACTCAGGCTTTGATCCTTAAGCTGTGATTACTCCACGCGCGTGTGCACATAAAAGAGTGACGTCGACACTGAACAAACAATCGCGTTCGAAATGGATAGAGCGAGAGCTATATATTTTTCCGCGCAGGAGCAAGAGATTATTCTTCAGAAATATGAAGAATATAGAAGTGTTTTTCAAGCACGCAGTAACACTGTATCTGCTGCCAAAGCAAGAGAACAATCTTGGAGGAAGATTGCTGATTGCGTTAATGCGTAGGCTAAGTTAAACAATTGTAAATGTAAATTTATGTAGGCTATCATATACATTTTTTATTAAATGCTAAAATGAAAATGTGTTTATTCGTGCTGATATATACATGAGTGCGTGTGTGTAGATGTATGTAAAATGTGAATGTATAGGCTATTACTTCCACCCTAAGAAAGATTGATATTCATTGATTTTTAGATGCAACCCCAACTCCAAATGTTCTTGGCAGCAGATCAAGACAAAATATAAAAATATAATTCAAAGTGGTGAGTATTTACCAAAACCTTTCATTATTTTTGTGAACATTTAATCACAAACACTTGTTTGCAGCAAACAGAAAAAAGTGTGAAGTGAGGAAAATTGGGGGAGGGCCACCTCCTGCAGAATACACTGTGGCGGAGGAGTTGGCGCTGAGTAACAATAAGGGGCGGCCCATTATGGATGGGATTGCAAGTGCTGTACAGTCTGACCCTGGTGCTGGCTCCTCTAAGCAAGTGACACTGGGTATGTGTGTGCAATGCATTACTAATGTTTTAAAAATAGTTAAATATGGCTGACTCTGTTCTGCAGTAGAGGGAAATACAGTGTCCCTGCCAGCACACATGCACACAGTCTCCCACACAGAGGTCAGTATGCAACAGACAGAACACTATGAACATAACCTGTTTTACAACAGTTATGCTTTACATTGGCCTTTTATTTATTAGGGTGAACCCAAATGATGAAGACACTCTGTCTGTGTGTTCTGAGACAGTTGCTGAGGTGAATGCAGTGGGCTTTTTATTATGGCACACTTTTGAATGTCATAATTAAGTGACTGGCGCTTACACATCTCTTTTATTGTAGGATTTTTCACAACCTGCCCCAGAAACTGAAGCCTCTACCTCAATGGGCTACAGAAGGAATGTGAACAAGCCTTTAAACCCTTGACATAAATTACATTTGTAAAAAGTCATGCCACTTTTTGTGATTTGATCAACCTCCAGAAAACGTGTAATGATTATTTGTGGTGGAATTGTTTCAGGTGGAAACAGACTCAGTCAGGGCCCTTTACAACAGGAGTCTCGGACTAGACTGTTCTCTACACGAGCTGGACTGTGAGCTGAGGAGGCTCCAAATTAAATAAATTAAATTGGAGATCAAACAGCTGGAAAAAACACATCTCAGTATGTGAACTTTTTTTTAACCAAGTAACCCTTTAGTATGAACACTATGAATGTTTATTAATGTAATTTTTCTTGCTCTCTTTCTTCCTCCCTAGCCACATGACCAATAAAACAGTTTGAGACCGATCTGCAGTGTCAGTGTGCTTACATTAAGTAAAATATTGTGTTGTGATTGCATCTCTGACAGCTGCGCCAGCTGGGTGGTCAAGTGTGATGGGGTCAATTTCATCAGGGAGAAGCTGGTTTTGTGGTGGTACTCGCTCCTTTCTGATAGTGGCTATATTGTGCAGAATGGCACATGCAGCCACTATCTGTGATGCCCGCTCTGGTGACACTCTTATGGTGCGTTCACACCGGACGCGAATAGCGCGTCAGGCGCGAGTGATTTCAATGTTAAGTCAATGCAAAGACGCGTTACGCGCGTAAAAAATTCCTGCGGCGCGAATGAGGCGTAGAGCGCGGCGCGGTAGACGCGAATACGCCTCATTCGTGCGAATGGCGCGAATTGAGCGTCTGGCGCGTTAAGTGCGTTACGCGCGAATGATTTAGTTAGTGCTATTTGTGCATTCACGCGTTTGACGCGAATTCGCGTCTGCCGCCCGAGTTGAAAAATCTGAACTTCTGCGTCAATTCGCGCCGCGTTAACCAATCAGGAGCCTAGCTGCTTGCTGCTGTCACGTGGTGAAGTATCTGGATGCTTCAATAAATTATTTTGTAATATATGACTGTGGTTCTAATGCACAACAAAGCAAATATTTTATCACATAAAACTTGATTTCAATATATGAGACAGATTCATTTTGCATTGAATGCTATTTATTCCATATCTAGATTATATGAAATATTATTATAATGTAAAGACAACCAACATATAAGTTCGTGTCTGGACAGTGATGTGTGAGAGAGAGAGAAAAATCACAGGACAGATTAATCAGTTTTGGAGGCTGGCTTCATTTATTATCAAAACAAAAATAAATGACAGATTAGGTGGATGCGGGCGAGGGTGAACCTCGCGCCGGGCTGTAGAGCGCGGGCTCGACAGGCATAGACCACTCGAGGCCGAGGGCTTATACAGCCTACGCTGTCCTCGTCAGCGTCCTCACCATTAGGTCCACCAAACCTAGCTCCTGGAGCAAATTGTGAAACTCCTGAAACCCTCCGGAGGTTCTGGTGGACCCGAGTACAGCGACGATGTCCCCTACGGAGCTGTTTCTGCTCTCCAGAGCATATACGAGCGGTGACTCTCTCGAATAATGCTAATGCTCGATAAACATCTAAAAAGATGGCCACCAACGGGTTTCGAAACTTTCGCCTCCGGATTTCGCCTCTGACGCGCGTAAATTTCGCTTCAAACTTTTGTTTTTACGCGCGTCAATTTCGCCATTGACACGCGAATTAACACAAAGTGGTCAAGCGTCAAACTAGACGCGGTAGACGCGAATTTGACGCGCTATTCGCGTCCGGTGTGAACGCACAGTTAAGCGCCTAAGGCAGTTGAAACGTGCCTTTAGGATGCTAAAGGTCATCTCGATCTTGACCCTGGTTTTACTGAGGGCCACATCGAAGCGGTTTTGTGGCCCTGTCTGAGGGTCAGGATAGGGGGTTAGCAAAAACCTCTGGCATCCATAACCTCGATCTCATACCAACAGGCCATCAAAAAGCCCTGTCATAGAACAGAAAAGGGGAAAATTGTGTAAGTTTTGCTATTAAAATTAAAACTTTAAAATGTACTGTTCCAAATTTAACTTGCCTCGAAGCGCTGACACAAAATAGACTCACGGAAAATGCTTGAATCATGCACTGAGCCAGGCCATTTGGCATCCAAACTTGTGATCATGCATACATGATCACAAGTCATCTGCAGATGAAATGTACAGTAAATAATTGTCCTATCTGTTAGTTACTATTTATTTAAAGATTGATCTCAATGCAAATAAAAATCATTTCACATAGGCTATATAATAGCCCTACCTGAACATTAAGGCTGTGAAAGGACTTTCTGTTCACATAATCTGCCTCATGTTCTCCTAGAGCTGTGGAGATTGCAACATGTGTGCAGTCTATTGCTCCTATGACTCTAGGGAATCCTATCATAGGAATTAAAAATATGTATTTAAAATCATTCTTAACAGGTAGCTACTGCAGACTATTGTATAATAGATTTCTAAGTGTGAAATATGCTTTTTTTAAGAAGAAAAAATTAGTGTGAAAGGTTCAATTTGTTCATGTGATGTCACCCTATCAAGATATCTTACCGGCAATTTTATAAAAGCCCTCTTTTATGGACATGGTCAATAAAT